ACTCAATTTTCTTAATAGAAAACATTCAACATTCTGTTTCAGCATTCAATCTATTTGTGTTGTTTTGACCGAAATACATGAAATTAGTCTTACACTGATATTTAATTTGAAAAGGGAGGAGTAGTTTAGCAGTCTTCTCATGTAGTTATAGATATTTTTCTTTGATACTACACCAAAACTCAACAAGTGAGAATTTCTCAAAAATGAGATGCAATGTAACATCTGACACCCTGTCAGTGAACTGCCCATACTCTGTCACATCAGAGTCACTGGCTGAACTTGTATGCTGAACGAATCTTTTACCCAGGCTTGATTTTATAACACCATGTACACATCATTTGGAAAACTTTGGCTCAATGAATTATACAAGTCTTCCAAATGATAACATCTCACACTATATGACATTATTAAAAAAAAAAAACACATTCATTAATATTGCCATCTACCTCATCAGAAAGGTTTTATGTACTGACAAGGTATTAAGTTCAGTGGCAGATGCAACTTTTAATTTTCATGTGGAAAATCAAATTTTATCATTATTGACAAATATATTCAATTGATTTCTTTGAAGTGGCAGACTCACTCTGTTCATTTTCTTTTCTTCTTTTGACCCCACCATACACAGTGTGTGGGACCTTAGCTTCCCAACCAGGGTTGGAACCCACATCCCCTGAACTTGGGGTGCAGGTTAACCACTGGACCACCTAGGAAGTCCCTGTCCATTTTCAAGAAAATGTCTGGCCAAGTACCCTGGTGTCAATTAACCATAGCTTATCTACCAGTCATTCTATCAAATAAAAATGGCATTCTATTAAAAAAAAAGGCAAGTTTAGCTTGCAACTCATATAGCTCTACATACATGCTTTTCTTCAAAGCAACCATCCTAGTTCAATATGCAGAAGTGTTTTATGCATATTTATCATTTAATCACAAAGAATATTAAAAGATGGGTTCCCCATAGCTGAGATTTAATAAAACCTATCATTTCTCCTGCTTTATCAAGGACATTCTTGAACAAAACTAGATCAGCACAACTACCAGGACAGTATGGGGTTACTGCCTTCATCAGTGATAAGGTGTCAGCAGTTTTCCTCACCATGGCTTCTGCACCATCAGTATCACTGCCAACAGTGAAGGGGCAAATAAAGTCTTTGATAATCACGAACATAGTTTTGACCTCAAGGATGTCACAAAAGGGTCTTAAAAAAGCCCCTAGGAGTCTACAGAGCACCCTTTGAGAACTACTGAGTTACATTAACACAAAGTAACATGAGTGAATCTGAAAAATATAATTCTGAGCAAAAGAAAAAAAGACAGACACAAAAAGGAATATATTAAGACATTCATTCATATAAAAATTCACCAACAGGCAAAAGTAAATTATATTTTAAAGGAATATGTACGTAAGTTTGATCAAACACCCTGCGAGTTTTTAAGACACTTCTCAATAACACACAGACCAAGAAGAAAAAAAATTAGTAAAGTTTACACAGTTAAAAAGCTTAGTCTAATGGCCACATATAGAACTCCACACCCAACAGTAACAGAATACACATTCTTTTTTTTTCCAATTGTTTGAGTCTGCAAAAATCAAAAGGCACTAACAGACAGCTAACCCATGGTGCCCTGAGTGAAGACAAGTCAGTTTAGATATATGATGGACTAAAATCCCACTACTTAAGGCTCCATGCAGTGAGAATAACAGCCATCAAAAAAGAACATGCGTTCTTTACAAACATACAGAACACTCATAAATATAACTGACAGTGTGCTACAGGCGGCAAGTCTCAACAAAAGCAAGGAATGATAAATACTATGTGGATTATATTCTTTGACTAAAATGAAATTAACTTAAAAATCAGTAACAAAAAAAGCTAACTTAAAAACCAACGTTTGGGTACACTTTTAAATGGTTCACAGGTTGAAGAAGAAAGAAGTTAGAAAATATTTAGAACTGAACAATAAAAACACTACACATCAAAATCTGTGAAGGGCATGTGTCCACAGGGTTGCAAAAGAGTTGGACACGACCTGGCGACTGAACAACAACAAACAAAGCTAAAAAGTCAGTAGAGATGACATTCGCAGTTTTTAAATGATTTTATTAGGAAAGAAAATGAAAATTAATGACCAGAAGAGCTGGATGTTGGGGAGATTAAATCTAAAGATATAAGGAAGTAACATAACCAAACCTGTTAGTAACCTAAGTACCTTACATTGTATCTTATCTATAGAAATATATCCCAAAGGTCCCAGCCAAGCTATTATAGTGTCTGTATCATGGTACCTCAACTGATCAATTTCAACTGCCTGGTAAATTTCAAAGCCCAACACACCTTTCACTCAATGCTTAGCAATCATGGCCACCCACAGCCCCATTCCTTAGCAGGTTTCTTTAGAGTCAAGCGCTCCAGTATGAATCTACTGTAGGAACCTTTTCTTCACCCCACTAACTGAAGGTATGAGCCTCCAAACCCTCACCTCTCTTGAGACCCTAGAACTTCTTAAAAAACTCAGATTCTCCTTTTGTAAAGACCATGGGGCCACGCTCTGAGAAGAAATTCAAAATAATTCACTTATGTTGTCCCTAAATTAAGCTGGAAATAAGTCAAACTCAATAAAAGATACTTACAAAGTCTTAGAACTGTCATGAGGAATAGCTACAATAAACCAAACTGTCTTTCCCTTCATCCTTCGCTTTTACCCACAGTGCAGTCAGGGGGTCAGGGGGAGTCAAGGTGAAGACAGACTCCTGTTCTCGAGGCAGTGCTCCTCACCTTTTTGGCTGTGTCCCTGCATTTCCAGCCCTTCACAATTCACTGCACAGGGGATCATCCAAAATGGATCCACCTCTCTGATCTCAACATTATGATCTGACCACAATCCCTGCATATCGCAGTTTTCTCACTCCCTCTCTACAGACAAAAATATACTCTGCTGCTCAGTCTCCACTGGATTCCCAACGCTGCTCTCCAACTGTTTTCTTATCCTTTGCTTCCTCCCTTTTCCAAAACATCCCTGTTCTCCTCAAGCCACAACCCCGGTGCCTCTTACTCTTACTTTGCATCCTAAGTCACAGAGAAAAAATAAAATAAAAGAGACCATCAGGCTTGATTCAAACCACTCTGGCAAAAGTCATGAATGAACTACTCCTTCTCAGATGCGCCCATGGCAAACTCCTTCCTAGCAGCCAGATTCCAGCTCAAATGCTACCTTCTCAGAATCCTTCTCATACTCACAGGGGAAAGCCATCTCCATAGTCCTGTTTTATTTCCTTATAAGGAAGTATCACGAAGGCAGGGATTGGCCTGGCCTGTTCCCTGCACTCTCTCCAGCACCTGGAACATAGCTGTTGTTCAGTCACTAAGCCATGTCTGACTCTATGACTCCATGAACTGCAGCATGCCAGGCTTCCCTGTCCTTTACTATCTCCCGGAGTTTGCTCAAACTCATGTCCATTGAGTCATCCAACCATTTCATCCTGTGCCACCCCCGTCTCCTCCTGCTCTCAATCCTTTTCCCAGTATCAGGGTCTTTTCCAATGAGTCAGCTCTTCACATCAGGTGACCAAAGTATCCAGCCTTTAGCATCAGTCCTTCCAATGAATATTCGGGGTAGAACATAGTAGGTGCTCAGTACATATCCACTAAATAAACTAATGCTGTGGGAAAATGACCTCTGAGTTGCTTAAGTTCTGACTTATGCCTGAACATTGTTAGTACAAATGCTACCTCTGCCTAAAATTCAAGTAGTTTCCCAAATTCAGACCATTACAGTGTCAAACCTTTCTCTCAACGTCTCTTCCTTCTAAATCTACCTTCTATCTACCATGCCTTCTTTATCCTTTTAAATTTACTTTATTGAAGTATAGTTGATTTAAATGTGTAAATTTCTACTGTACAGCAAAGTGATTCCCATATACATATATGTATATGTAAAAGAATATGAAAAAGTGTGTACCTACACACACTCTTTTTCATATTCTTTTCCATTATGGTTTATCAAAGGATACTGAATACAGTTCCATGTGCTATACAGTAGGAACCTGCTGTTCTTCCATTCTCTATATGATAGCTTGCATCTACTAATCTCAAACTCCCAAATCATCCCTCCTCCACCTCTCCCCCATGGCAACCACAAGCCTATTCTCTAGGTCTGCGAATCTGTTTCTGTTTCGCAGATAAGTTCGTATCACATTTTAGATTCCACGTTTAAGCGATATCACATGGTGTTTGTCTTCCTCCGTCTGACTGACTTCATTTAGTATGGTCATCTCGAGGTCCACCCACAGTGCTGCTGATCATCCTGCCTTCTTTAAAACAACGCCACCACCTGTGTCTACCATCCCTTCGAGCACATTTTGCTTGAAGCATGTTTCAAGCAAGCACATTTCTAGATTCTTTCAGTATCTGGCGTGCATATTTCTTCTCGACCTTACCCCTTATTATTTTCGGGAACTTCTATATGCTCAGCAACATTGTCAGTGACTGCGACATGTGTCAACTACTAACCACAGGACAGCCCCAGCTTCAATCTGACCCTGAACTGTTTCCTCTTAAAAACCTCAGCATTCAGCTTTCCCACTTCCCTGTACCCAATGACCTTGGTCTCACTCTTCACTGAAGCCTCTAAGCTTGCAGCCCCGCCTCTTTACACCCCTGGGTATACACTAGAGATCCAGTGTATATCCTACCGTGAATGCAACTCTCATTACCATATTAAGCTCCCTGATCTTTCTGCCACATGCTCTCCTCCACCTTATTAGGCTCCAGAGCACCCCTACACAAAAGTCTCAAATCCATTTTAGTGTATTTAATCCAGACTGGATTATTTAAAATTAAGATTTAAAGCAAAGTAAGACTTGGGACAATCTTCCCATCTTTAGTACAAATAGTCATGTTAAACAGACAGAGAGTATTCCACATTGATTAGGGCAGAATGTACAATTTTCATGAATTCCCAGGCACCAATTCACATGATTATTTAGAGGGCATACTTACATAGATAAGTCCTGAATAGTAACGATCCTTCAGATTATGTAAAACAGAAGCTTCGTTCAAGCACGTCAATTCTGCCATATCCTCCACCTTGGAAAACTTAGGTGGGTTCATCTTCTGAATATCATCTTTGTTGACCATTGCTTTCTTTCCATTCTCCGCCAACTCCACCATAACTTCATCTCCCCGTTCTTCTTTGATACTAGCTGCCTCAAAGCCATGGCGTTCCGACGGGATCCACACTAGCTTTTTGGCCGTCCAATCAGCCTGAGTGGCAGGGTTGTAGATGACTGCCCTGTCCACAAAGAGATACCTCTCTGGATCTTCGAGTCCAGTTCTCTGTGCCATTGTAAACAGGAAGCTCCAAGGGCAATCGCCTCTACGAGAAGAGGAGGAAAACAAAGTCAGATATTTAGAAATAAGCCATGCTTCACAACTCTTCTAAGAAACTTAAAAACAAAAGCTCTGGTAAATAGAATGCATGAACTTGGAGTGAAGAAGCTGGTGCAGCCCCCTCCAGGGCCACAATAACTGGGTTTCCAAGGTAAATTTCAGGGGTGACCATAAATGATGATTGGTTCTCTGAGGATCACTCGAGACGTACCCTCAGTCACTGAGGGCTGAAAAACAAGTGGGAGGAAACAGCAGAGTTGCAGTTGGACTCTGTTTTTCTCTTCCTCTCCTATTTCACCCTCGCCACAAATTAAACCGGGAGTTAAGAAGGGAAAGGAAAACTAAGAAAACGAAAACAGAGATTCAGGATAAAAGACCCAGGGAGTGGTGCTGGAATGACAGCAACCACCTGGATGTCGCTACAGAAAGGCACGGTGACTGCCAGTGGAGCAAACCTCAGGTCTAGAACGTTCCTCCCATCCTATGTGAGTGTGTGCACAGTCGCTCAGACATGTCCACTCTTGGCGACCCCATGGGTTGCAGCCCGCCAGGCTCCTCTGTCTATGGAATTTTCCAGGCAAGAATACTGGAGTGGGTTGCCATTTCCTACTCCAGAGCATCTTTCCAACCCAGGGATTGAACCTGTTTTTCTTCGTTTCCTGCGTTGGCAGGCAAATTCTTTACCACTGCGCCATCTGGGAAGATGCCCTTCAGACAACAGACTCAACACTCTTACGATTCCCCTAAGCCAGCCCCCGGCAGCTTCTCCACGGCCTACATGATCTGTGTGATCACGGGAGGCCACGGAGAGTGAGTGCATGAGTTGGTGTCACACCCAGCCTTTCAAGTATGTGATGGTGGCTGTCCAGGTCTCCACTCCCAGGCCTGCAGCTGCTCCCCTCCGGCTCCTCTTCTGCATTCCATCCTGCACCAGGACTCACTCCCCGACTCTGGTCTCGTGCCTCGAAACAGACTCCACGTGTTTACACCCCTTTAGAGGGGCCAGAAGCAAACAGAATATTCCAGACGTGGTGTGACTGGTGCAGAAGAGAAAGGAATTGTTCACAGCCTCAGCCCTGGTGGGGAAAGCAAAGCATGTTTCTGGGACTTCTACAATGAATGTATCTAAGACTTCAGTGGTTTATTGAGTGCTCACTGCTGGCTCACATGGAGCTGTCAGCCAAAGCCCAATGCAGTCCTTGAAGCTACTTCCCCTCTCACGCTTGTGGGACTGACTTTGCAGATCAAGTGACAGGATTTTACATTTGTTACTCACCTTTCTGATGTGACTCATCATTCCTGCCTGACAAGTGTCTTTCTGGAGTCCAATACCATCATTAAACACTTCCCTTATGACTTGGAGTAGTAAGTCGTTTTCCAGCCAAATTCCAGGTTATCACAAACCTCACTCAGATCAATGTGAGAAGGCAAGGAAGCAGCTGCTCTTGCTCCTCCACCCGACTCTCCCAACTTCTCCCTCTCCCCCAAATGAGGTAAGCTCATTTGGTAAGCTCTTGCCTGAGTGCCTACCCACCTACCCACCTCTTAGATGGAAGGCTGCAAGGGAAATCAAAATCACCCAGGTTGTGAAGAGGTTCTTTTTTTTTTTTCTTTATTTTTTTTGGCCATGCCACATGACATTTGGGACCATAGCTCCTCAACCAGGGGTCAAACCTGGGCCCCCTGCGGTGGAAGTGTGGAGTCCTAACCACTGGACCGCCAGGGAAGTCCCATCAAGAGGTTCTTAACCTCCAGTACACAGACAAAGTTCAGGCTTCATGAAGGCACTGAAATAGGTCTAAATACACTGTGCAATTTTTTGTAGACCTGTGCTTTTCTGAAGAGAACACTCATAACTTTCTTCAGATTCTTAACTATCTAGCTATCTTTATCCTAAAAGATTAAACACTGATAGAGGAAACAAAATACTAGCCCTTTCAGGCCCAGTAAGAATGTACTAGAATCAAAGAGCTAAGATTCTTCAGAAACTGGTTGTTAGAATGTAAAGGATTACAAACACTCATGGCCTGGAGCAGAGTTCTCAAGCTTTGGCTCTTACATCAGCAACACCTGAAGGGTTTATTAAAATACAGACTGCCAGGCCTCATTCTCAGTAGGTCTGGGGTGGAGACCCTCGGTCATTTGCATTTCTAACAAATTCCCAGATGCTGCTGATAATGCTGGTCCTGGGAGCACACTTTGAGAACCATCACTCCACAGTTCTCTGGTTGCCATGGTGAACCACTGCTACTACCAGGTATGTTGGGGGAGGCAAAAAAGGTTGAAAACCAATGTTTCAGACTAATTCATAAACTGAATTAGAGGATATACTTACCAGTTTTAGGAGTATACAATCAGATAAAACAAAATCACAAAACACGTAATATTAAGACTTCTACCAACAGATTTACTAATATGCTTTCTAACTAAAAGGCATCCATGTGGGAAAAGGCAATAGAAAAAATATTCATGCATGTATGTACATTCTGAAGCATGGTTTCAAAAACACATCACCTCTCCAGACTGCACTAATAAGATTAATAACAAAGTCTTCTGTCTCCCCAACCTATACACTACCCACTGCTAGGAAGAAGATGGCTTTGAAGTGGGAATCACCCTGGATAAATCTGGATACAGACAATAGAACACATTCTACCTCAGGAAGAACAGCCTCTTAGAGAAAATGTCCAACTAGAACAAAACAGGATAACAAGTTACTCTTATTATCCATACTGGGTATAAACTGTGTACCTGATACAATACTTCAGAAAAATGCATGCATTTCTTTCCTTTTACAATGGGCATGTAAATTATCTGCTGAGATTCAGCAAGTGACTATAAATTAGAATAACTTAACAGGTCATTTCTAGGGCAGGTCTTTTTTTTTTTAAGTAAATGATTTTTTTTTAAGTAAAAATTATTTGATCAAATCAACACATTTTAAATTTATTAGTATGTACTACTGCTAGGTGGGGAAACACCTGTAATTTAACATAAGAAAAAAAGGGATCACAAAAGTGTGATTATAATACGCTCCCAATTTTGTGGGGAAAAATTGCATATAAACGTCTTTATTTCAAAGGAAACAAACAGTCACTGGGTCTTCACTGGGTAGTGGGATTACAAACTTCTTTTACCTTTTACTTTTCCAGAGTTTTCTATAACTCACTAAATGCTCCAAGGACGGCTTTGTCCTTGCTATACGGTGAACTGACTCCCTGGTCCACAGGAGGGCATTTATATACCTTCTGATCAGCATTACAGCAACGGTCCTGACCCTCAGAGTAAGTTTCGGCTTCTCCTCCAGCACCAAAAACCTACCATTCCTTTAAATTCTGACCCAAATGCCATCCTTTCACAAGTTCTTTTCAGGTCAACCTGGCAATTTAATCCTCATCCTTCTCCTAACATTTTGTCCTGCTCTTCTGGCACCCTTCTCGTCTTTGCACCAGAGGACTCAGCAGGTAGTAGGTGCTCAAATCCTTGTTTAGATGGTAGAGTCCCTGAGGCCAGGGAAGATGTTTTGTTCATTTTAACTGTTCACATGTGGTTGCCAAATATGTTGTATTTTTCTCATTCCATTGAACATTTGGCAACTTGTCTTGATAATGCTGGTATTTAATAGGGAAAACACTTTCAAATGCTTTGCCTTGTAGGAAGGGTAACATTAGAATTTTGTAAACAACGAATACTGTTATTATATACCATTAATGATGGCCAGGCGCTATTCTTAAGTGGTTTATGTGTATATATATCAACTCAATCCTCACAACAGGCTCACCAGGTAGGTGCTTTTAATATCTCCATTTACAGGTGAGGAACCCAAGATTCAGAGAAAGCCAAAAACTGGCCCAAAGTCACAGAGCTAACAAAGAACAGAGCTAGGAGGAAACCCAGAGTTCAGCTCCAGAACACCTACTACAAGGATGGAAGGTGAGGAGGGGAAAACTTTGACATGTAGTACACTACATACTGCCTGTCGATCAATGACCAATTACGGTTTCAAGAGCACATGGTCAGGGAATTCCCTGGCAGTCCAATGGCCGGGACTCTGCACCTCCACGGCTGGGGCCCAGGTTTGATCCTTGGTTGGGGAACTAAGATCCCACAAGCCGCATGGTGTGGCAAAAAAAAAAAAAAAGGAAAAATGAGGACAGGCTCAGCCAATGAACACACTGGCACAATCTGGCAAAGGCTTTACATTTCATTAAAAAAAATACCTATATTGGAACAAAAAGGAATAAATAGGAATCTCTTTGTAACAGAATCTGAAAGTTTTTGGTGTCCTCTGAAGTAACTGCCTAATTACACTTAAATCATTTATCAGCCTCCCCCCACCCCAGAGTCAAAGCCCCATCACCTTCACTGATTTTTAGACATACACACGTACCCCTGGGGGTCTATCCCCAAGGCCATCTTTTACTCCCAAAGAAACACCACCCACTAAGCTTCTCAACTGCCTCTCAGCACCTATGGTAGGAAGAGGCACAGGGAAAGTTTTGTGACTATCTTGCATACCAAAATTCAAACAAAAATGATGGATAAATGATCCGTGATAACACATCTCTCTGAGACAGATAAACTGAAACAGAATCGTCTACAATTTGTGTAAAACTACCACTGAGGTCACTCTTCTTACAGAGACCCTGTAAGTCTGTTCATTTATCAAAATCATGTTTAACCAAAAATGAGAAATGCAAATCAAGTGCAAAAGGACACTACCGCTCTTCATGGCCCAAGCCACCTCTGTTAATATCTTTACACTGTGTTAAGTGTTTCTGAAGCGGGGAGACTGACACCAGGAATTTTTATTCTTCTTACATGCCAAGAAGGTACAGAAACTGCTTAAGACTACAGTCTTTCACCATACAACGTGCCCTTGAAAATTTCCTGTGTCTCACCTTCCATCCAGCCTGTCTTCCTTGAAATGATTTCCCTAAGGGGCCCAAGTAAAAAGGCATGCTCTTGGGTCACATCTCTTTGCTGCAAAAGCTGGTGCTATATCGCCCAATTACACCATATGCTTTCTCCAGATAAGGACGGGGAGGAACTGAATTTAAGATGCAGAAGTAAGGAGATGCATAAAATGGCCACTTTTCCAGGATCCATGACAGACAGGGCATACTTAAACATCAAAAGCATGGGACTAAAAGCGTAATTAATGAGGACCGATGGATGAAGGAAATGAAACAATAAATAGATTAAAGTTTTCCAGAGTGAGATACTATCAAGGATAATGAAGCCTGAATCAAAGAATCCTCAGTTTCAATGTTAAAAAACAAAAATCTCGGCAAAACTGAAGTATTAAATTTGGTATTATATTATTCAGCGAAAACAGCCGTCTTTGTTTCATTTGCACTAGGGATCTACCCGCCTGCTTTCCCCTGCCCACCCCACCCCACCCCACCCCCTTCCATCAACCGCAGTGATCTTGAAGGGAGCTGCAGAGAGAGGCCCTACGGAACGGAGATAACGGTCACAGGCAGAGACCACGCTAGCCAAAACTCACCAGCCGAGCTCAGACCCGCCAGGTCACCAGCCTCCTTCCCGTGGCCCCGGTTCCCAGGCAGGCCGGGCTGGGGGCCTCGCCGGTCCTCGGGCCGCATCCGCCCACCGCAGGCCCACAAAGCCCGCGCGGACGCCGGGAGTCGGCGCCTTCAACTTCCCTCCGACCTCGTTCCAGGCCGATTTTATGGGATCAAGGTTGGACCACCCCCCCTCCCTGCAGAAGGCCAGGAAGAGACTCCGCGGCGAGCCATGCCCAGATGCCTTACACAATAAAGGAATCCCGAAGCAAGGGCTGACCCTCCCCCCCCAGCCGCCCTGCTGCAGCGCGCCCCCGCCACATTTCCCGCCTCGCCCCCCCGCCCAAGCCGCCCGGGCCTGGCCGGACGTCCACCCCCGGCCCCCGCCGCCCCCACAGAGCCTGGTCTGACGCCGCCCCTCCCGCCCTGCTCCCCCGGGACCACCGGAGCCCGACCCTCCCCAAGACCGCGGCCGGCTGATCAGACACCTTCACCCACCGCGCGCTGTCCCGGCCGTGCGCAGCCCTGCCCTCGCGTCCCTCCACGCCGCAGGTCCAGGCGCGCCGCCCGCCTTCCGACCCCTCGGCGAACTCCGCACCGCACTCTGGGTGCCGGAGCCGGCCTAAGCCACCCAGCAGCCCAACCAAGGGCCCTTCCCGTCCAGCGCTCCCCCCACCCCCAATCGGGATTCCGCTTTCCAGTCCGCCCCAATACTCCCTCCCCTCATGAGAAACAGGCAAAGAGTCGTGGGATCCCCGGGGACCCCCACTAGCGCACGAGGTCCCCCCAACCACGCGCCGCACGGATGCCGAGCGCCGAGTACCAGGTCCGCACATGCCCACCCGCAGATCTCCATCCCCAGCCCCCCAGGGGCAGTCCTCCCGCACTCCCAGGCCCTCATCCCCGCAGGAGTCTCTCACTCTCAAGGACCTCATTCCCCGCCCCTCCAGGGGTCTCTCCACCCACTGGGGTCCCGTTCCCCGCCGCCACCCCGCAGTGTCCTTCCTCGCAGGAATCTATGGCCCCTGCAGCACAAACCCTCCGCCCAGAGTCCCTTCTCTCTTCCCCAGCTCCCTCTTCGGCTCCGTTCTCGCCTTCCAGAGCCGCCGAGGATCCCTCCCCCCACCACAAACCGTCTCCGGTCTCCGGTCTCGGACCCGGGTAACCGCAGCTCTCACCTTCAGCCGAAGATGGTGGCGCCGGCGCACGTCCCCAGCCGCGACCACAGAACCGGCGCCTCAGTCCCAAACCCACCGCTGCCTCCGCCGGGCTCCTTTAGCACTGCTACTCCGGGCTGCCCCACCCACTCCCACCCTCATTGGGCCAGCTCCACGCCCGTCACCACCGCCCCCAGACCCACTGGTCCGTTTGCGCGCCCATCTCCAAGGGAAGACGTTAGCAACCCGAACGAAGCTACCTTCCCGAGGTCCGCTCCCTCCACCCACCTGAAACGATGCTCATTGGCTCCCGCTCCCAGACCAGGCGGCCGAGGCCCCCATATTATAGGCTGAGCCACACGTCCATCAGAGATTCCGGGAGGTGCGGCCGGGACAGTTGTGGGTGATTGGCTGGCTAGGGCGGAGATGGACAGCTGAGACTGGCAGGGCGTCCCGCGATCCCGCGGGGCAGTGGGTGCGGACCCCGCAGCGGCTTTGGCTGTGCGGATGGCGAGGCAGGTGTGCCGCGGTCAGAGCCCCGAGCTCCGCCTGGACGCTCCACGCCCTGGCGTCGGGCCGCCGCGGCAGCTCAGCCCCGAGCCTCGCCGCCCCCTCTGCCTGTCGCAGCCGGCGTGTCCCGCAGTGGGACCGGCTTCCACCGCCGAGTCGCGGGCCCCCGGAGCTGCCTGCAGGGGCGGGGCCGGAGCGCGGTCCAGAGGCCTGACGTCACCCCCGGGGCTGCAGGGAGTGGGGGCCAAGGCTCTGCGGCTCACCTGCAGTGGGGGAGGGGAGGCAGGGCTCGGACTGCGGCTCTGCCCATGCGCACCAGCTGGGGCAGTGGGGCGCGGGGAAGGCAGATCGCCTGCCGTCGGCTGTCTGCACTCAGGCCCCTGTCTCGACCTCGGGCCCGGGCTGACCCTGCCTAGGTCCGCTGAGCGCCGGCCGCCGGGTTTGCGAGGGGAGGAGCTTCCCTACCCAGACTCCTGGCTGGGCTGAGATTCCAGAATATTGAAAAGGGAACCCACCTTGGGAAAACGACTTCACGTCATTCATTCCTTCGTTACTTCTTTCTTTTAGTATACAGCTCCCTACATGAGAGGGGCTATGAGGAGGTTCTGCTGGACTCTCTTATCCCTCAGGGCCTATTAACTTTTCAAAGGCCTTGTAAAAAACGTTTGAGACCTGAAGAAAAAAATAAAGGTTCCAAAAGAAGGAAAGGCAACTAGAAAAATCCGAGTTAATATTTAATGAAATGTCTGCAATATCTAATCAACTGCGACACGACCCTAATTATATATAAATATAATAAAGTTTAGGTAAGTCACAAGAATAAAATGATTTAGTCTTAAAAAAAATGAAATTTACAAAATCTTTTCCAAAAAATTTTTATAGCAAGATGTTACTTCATGTTCAATAAGGATGCATTTTAATATTTACAACATGATGTATGTAAATGGCTAAGCCTAGGAAACTTCCAGTCTGGTAAAAGGTGAATAAAGCAAAAAAAACAACGCAGGAAATGATGAGGAGGGGTTGGTAGAATTCAGAGACAATTTCAAGGCAGCTGAATGCAGAGTCCTTCCTGGGGAAGTCAGAATCGGGTCCTGTATTGTCCTTTGTCCTAGTGCATCTGGTCCCCCACCCCCACCTGCCTGCTAGAGTAAGCTGCCCCTTGTCCAGGTGTCTTGTGACTTGGCTCCATGAAGTCTGTCCTTAATGCAGCCTGCACATGGAGTACAAGTTAACTGTACGTAGTATGTGACAAGTATTCCTCTTCTGAATTAAAAAATAAACTTTTTACAGAAGATGAAACACTCCATTTCTAACGCCTGAGTCTCAACTTTGCCCGCCACTGAAGTCATTTCTGAGTGCACAGAGCGTTCACACACAAACCGCCCCATCAGCCACCAAGTCTGTGATTTCCCATAATTATAAAACAAAGTCAGTGGACCATCAGAAGAGGAGGCCAGGAAGCTCAGCTCAACAGAATTCAACATCACAAAGACATCAGTCTCAATGAGAAATCAGTAATAAAAAGACTGTCTCCAGAAATTCCCTGGCAGTCCAGTGGTTAGGACTTAGGAGTGTTCACTGCCAGAGCTCAGGTTCGATCCCTAGTAAGGTAACTAAGATCCTGTAAGTTACATGGCTCAGCCAAAAACAAAAACACTGTCCCCTAATGTGTCTCTGGGTTTCCCAGGTGGCACTTCGGTAAAGAATCAGCCTGCCAATGTAGGAGACACAGGTTTGATCCCTGGATCAGGAAGATCCCCCAGTGTAGGAAAGAGCAGCCTACTCCAGTATTCTTGCCTGGAGAATTCCATGGACAGAGGAGCCTGGCGGGCTACAGTCCATAGAGTCACAAAGAGTCAGACATGACTTAGCACACACTCATGCACACAAAAGTATCTCTAGCCATGGCATCTCTCCAACCTTGGGGCCTTATATTTTCAACTGTCTGCTAGGTGTCCGGACCTGGATTGGAGGACAACTGCAAAAGCAGGAAGTCCCGAGCTTATCTTCTTCCCACATCCACTTCATCTCACCCGAATTCTTTTTCTTCCCAACTTCCCTTTGTCTTTTAATACAATCAACTTTGAAACCACTTCGATTCCTTCCTCTCCCTTGCTCCCACACTGCGTTCCCCTCCACCTCGATCAGCCAGCCAGCCAGGCTCTTCAGACTCCAGTCTTACCCCACATAGCTCCATCCCAGAATCTGTTACTGTTTTGAGCAGGAAAACACAGGATTTAGGACCACATAGACCTGGCTTTAAATCCGTCTCTGCCACTTCTTGTTGTTTAGTCACTCAGCTGTGTCCAACTCTTTGTGACCCCGTGGACTGTGGCCCACAAGGCTCCTCTGTCCTTTGGATTCTCCAGGCAAGCATACTGGAGTGGGTTGTCAATTCCTTCCCCAGGGCATCTTCCCAACCCAGGAATGGAACCCACGTCTTCTGCTTGGCAGGCACATTCTTTGCCACTGAGCCACCTGGGAAGCCCCACCATAGTTTTAATCTTAGACAAATTCCTTAACCTCATCTCTCAAAAGAGGCTACAAATACATACTAAAGGACTCATTCAATCCATATGTAACAGGTTAATTTACTGGGGAAAAAAGCATGGTGTTATGAACATATCAATGAAAATGGTCTCCCCCCGCTCCAGTCTACAAGTTAATTACAAAAGAGTGAGAAATCTTTGTCCTCTCTCCATAATAATTTTTGCTAGCAGTCAAGGCTGCTTTTACTCCCAAAAGAAAAAGGTCACAGGCCATTGTTTTGCAGAGTCCAAGTCACAAGTCCAAACTCATTCACTGATGACAGTTCCGGCCCATGAACCTGGTTTGTTCTAAGCTGTTTTGTTCCATCTGTACAAGGCTGACATGAAGCATTTTAAAAATAAATTTGAGTGAATTCCCACACTTAATAATCAAGAGCTATCCAACATCATTAACCATTTGGGAAATACAAATCAAAACCACAATGAGATACCATTTCACACCCACTGAAATGACTGTAATCAAAAAGGCAGACAATAACAAATGTTGGTGAGGATGCAGAGAAACAGGAACTCTCAGTGATTTCTGGCAGGAATGTAAAATGGTATAGCTGCTCTGGAAAACAGTTTGCCAATTTCCGTTAAGTTAAACAGGAATGTACTGGACTTCCTTGGTGGTACAGTGGTAAAGAATCCACCTGCCAACGCAGGGGATACAGGTTCAATCCCTGGTCCAGGAAGATTCCACATGCTGGGGGGCAACTAAGTCTGTGCACTACAAGTACTGAAGCCCATCCACCCTAGAGCCCATGCTCCGCAGCACTAGAAGCCACCACTATGAGAAGCCGGTGCACTGCAAATAGAGAAAGCCTGCAGGCAGCAGTGCAGCCAAAAATAAATACATAACAAAAACAAGAAACAACAAAAAAACAGAAATGTACCATGTAACTCACAATTATATCCTTAGATATCTACCAAAAAAAACAAAAGTAAATATATATAGACACAAAAACTTGTACATAAATGTTCATAGCAGCATTATTCATGATAGCAAAAAAAAAAAAAATGGAATGTCCATCAACTGGTAAATGGGTTGACAAAATGTACACCCACACAATGGAATACTACTATTCAGCAATAAAAAGGAATAAACTACAGATTCATGCAGCAACAGGGATGAACCTTGAAGACATGTTCAGTGAAAGAAGTCAGACAGGGAAACCACATACTGTATGATTCCATTTATATGAAATGTCCCCCAAAGGCAAAGCTCTAGAGACAAAAAGTAGAACATTAGCTGCCCCGGGGTGAGGGCTGGAGAGACGAGAAGGGAGGATAGCACAGGGATTAACAGTACACATACATGTGGGATCTTATTGTGATGATGCAAGTGTTATAAAATTGATTTATGGTGATGGTTACACAGCTGGATAAATTTACCAAAAAGTCTATTTTATGGGATTCCCAAGTGGCTCAGTGGTAAAGAATCCGCCTGCCAATGCAGGAGACGAAGGAGACACAGGTTCTGTCCCTGGGTCGGGAAGATCTCCTGGAAAAGGAAATGGCGACCCACGCCAGTACTCCTGCCTGGAAAATTCAATGGACAGAGGAGCCTCGTGGGCTACAGTCCAGGGGGTTGCAAAGAGTTGGACATGACTGAGCATGCGCACACACTGAATTTTTATACTGTAAATTTCATGATTTGAAATATATACCTTAACAGGTAATGTTTTAAGGAAAAAAGAGCTCTCTCGTGAAAATTCAGATTTCTGGCTTTCCTTGAAAACATGGAAGATCTGGAAATTCAGCACCCATCAGCTGGTGCCTGAGTTGCTGCTCATTTTTAAACAAAGCCTGTGTTCCAGAGCGTGCCTCAGTCGCCACCACCCCCTCTAGTCTCTTAAAGCCGACCTGCCTTATTCACTGACATTCTTTGCTTGGTCTTTTTAGGCGTCTATTCGTTTTTAGCTCCTATCATGCCTGTCAAGGGATTTCATGTCAGATCATTCTAGAGAGAGAAGAGGAAAGGTGGTATTTTTGAGTTGAAGAGCTGTTCCCCTGCAAGAGGTGAAGGCATAGGAGACTTGTGGCGTCCATGAGGAGGGTCCCCTTTCAACATGCTTCCTGAAAGGGGTAGGACTTCCAGGCAGAGGTTACTGACCACCTCACAGCCCACTCAGGGCAATAATTCCTGACTGATAAGAAGGATGGGTGCTCAACTATGGCATCTTGAAACAGAAGGAGGAATAATTAAAAATAAACAAACAAAAAATCTCTAATGAGTTGAGAAAGAAGGAACTTTCCAGAATTTTCTTGGGCCCCTTAAGTGCTGGAGATTTGGCGGGGGGCGGGGGGGGAGGGGCGCGGGGAGGAAAAATACAGAAGAGTCTGCTGAAAATGACTAATTTAAGACATCTCACCAACCACGCAGGATAGGGCTAACTCACATTTGATTTTAGAAAAACAAAGGCATGATAGTCCTTGCATCCTAATGTCTTGGAACAAGTCATACCTGTAACAAATGCTTTTTGTGTCTGGGGGTGATGCCCAGTGCTACGGAGACGTCCGTTATCGACAGGCAGCGTCCCTATCCTGAAGGGGCACACAGTCCAGCTGGAAATAAAAGCAATTGGCAAATGACTGTAAGAGAGCAGGGGTTTTTAATCTGGAGTACATGGAAACCTGAAGAGTTTTAGGGGTTTCATACAATCTCTAAAATGACATGCAAAATGTATTGTGTTCTCCCCACCACCACCCCCTCAGGGAGAAGATGTACAGTTTTTAGTAGATTCTCATAGAACACTCTGGTCCAAAAAGTTTGCAAGAATGCAGTATAGAATTAAGTACTACATCAAGTATAGTGAGATCTAGGGACACGTAAGAGGGACACTTAACCCAGAACGGTGGCAGGGGTGGGCATCAGGGAAGTCCCAGAAAGTCTTCTTAGAGACAGTAATTTTGAAATTATAATCTGAAGAAGGTGGCGCTAACCAGACCAACAGAGGAGGATAATGCTTTCAGAGAAAAATAGCACAGAGAAGAGACAGTACAGGGCTTTCCAAGCTCAGAAAAAAGCTCATACCAGAGCAGTGCTATAGCAAAGCAAACAAGTGTGAAGGAGTGTGAAATACAGGGCTGAGGAGGTAGGCAGGGCCAGATGGGAGGGGTAGACCAGGAAATGGAATTTAAATTTTATCTGGAGGACAGTGGGGAACTATAGGAGAGTTTTCATCTGACAAGTAAAATGACGAACTTGTGTTTCTTCCAGGATTCCTCTGGTTATAACATAGAGAATGGATCAAAGTGGGGGGGGGGCAGCGAGGGCGGTTAAGAGGCTACTGCCACAAACAGTCCAGCTGAGATGACGGTGACTTGGTCGAAGCAGCCTGGAAAGATGTGGTCAGACTGCGGTGATTGCGCTTGCAAAGGTTAAGGGAGATATTTCAAGTGCCAGACCAACACATGAAGATATAAAAGTGCTTTAACGTGTATGAGGATATCTTCAAGGCCTGGTGGTGGTTTAGTCATTCAATCCTGTCCAGCTCTTGCGACCCCATGGACTGTGGCCCACCAGGCTCCTCTGTCCATGGGATTTTCCAGGCAAGAATCCTGGAGTGGGTTGCCATTTCCTTCTCCAGGAGATTTTCCTGACCCAAGGATTGAACCTAGGTCTCCTGCACCGCAGGCAGATTCTTTACCGACTGAGCTTCAAGTGCCTAGTACATTATAAATTCATTCCCTTCTTCCATTTGCTCATGGCCCCCTGAATTAAAAACAAGCCCTTACTGCATCCTGTACACACACTTATAAAAGCACCTATATAAACCTTCTTGTATGTTTTCATCTCTATCCCTGTATCCCCCTTCGAAACCAGTGCTGTCCAGCACAAGTAGAATGGGAGCCACCAGTACAAGCCACATATTTAAGTTTAAACTTTCTAGGGGCTACATTTTAAAGGTAAAGCAAAATAACTGATTAGTTTTAGTAACATATTAACCCAATACGAAAAGAATATTACATTTCAACATGTCGATTAAGAAATCACTAATAGGATATTTCACAATCTTTTTCTTGTGCTAAGTGTTTAAAATCTGATGTCTCTTGTGGACATACAGCACATCTCATTTCAGGCTGGCCACAAGGAAATGACAACCTACTTCAGTATCTTGCCTGGAGAATCCCATGGACAGAGAAGCCTGGAGGGCTACAGTCCATGGGGTTGCAAAAGAGTCAGACACAACTGAGCGATTAACACTACATTTTAAGTGCTGGAGAGCTACATGTGGCTGGTGGCTTCCATAGAGGACCCTACAAGGATAGACTGTAAACTTGCAGCCAAGGTCAATGTTTTCAGCTGTATCCCCAGGAGCTAGCTCAGTGATTGATACACAGCAGATGCTTAGTAAATGCTTGCTGAATAGAAAGATGGAAGGACGAATGGGGAGATCCTTTCCAGCTTTCCAGATGTCATTTGAGCTGAGCCTGAATCCCAATCACCTTCCCAGGGCTTCCCTGGTGGCTCAGCTGGCAAAGAATCTGCCTGCAATGAGGGAGACCTGGGTTCAATCCCTGGGTTGGGAAGATCCCCTGGAAAAGGGAAAGGCTACCCACTCCAGTATTCTGGCCTGGAGAATTCCATGGACTGTATAAGTCCATGGGGTCGCAAAGAGTTGGATACAACTGGGCGACTTTCACTTCATTCCACTTGAATCCCAATCAGGATTGCAACAGTAGAGGATAGTGGACTGACTGCAAGGGCAAGGATGCAAAGAACTGAAGCACGGACAAGGAAAAATGATACCAGGAAACAGTGGGAAGTAACAGCATTTGACTAAAGTACAGAATCCTTGCTGCAGAAAAGAAGGTGAGAAGTGATCCTGAGGGTTCCTGGAAGCTGACACTGGAACCCTATACACGTCTGGGGATTCCCAAGCTGCCAGTGTAATTTCCACCAGTAAATATTTAAGGGACAAATGAAAAGAGAGGGAAGAGGACAGGGCCGCAGGAAAGAGACAAGGAAGCAAAAAAGAAAGGGGAGAGAGAGCAAAATGATAATGACTGCTGGTATGAACATTGGCAAATCACAAATAGGCAAATTTCTTAAAGGATCCAGGTTGTCTCAGTGGAAAGAAGAACAGGTTACTGGAGTGTTTGCAAACAGCTGGAGAAGTCTGGTGAGTGGTTAGAGATGAAAACAGGGTCATTGGTCTCAAGAGTATCTGTGGTCTCTGGTGGGAAGTTGAGGGAGTTACATGTTGGTACAGAGAACTCCAGTCTGAAATCAAGCCTTGGGGCTTCCCTGGTGGCTCACTGATAAATGCAGGAGACTACCTGCTAATGCAGAAGACACGAGTTCGATCCCTGATTCAGGAAGATCCCACATGCTGCAGAGCAACTAAGTCCATGCGCCACAACTACTGAGCCTGTGCTCTAGAGCCCTGGAGCTGCAACCATTGAGCCCATGTGACCGCAGCTACTGAAGCCTGCGAACCCTAGAGCCCATGCTCTGCAAGAGAAGCCACCGCAATGAGAAGCCTGCACACCACAACTAGAGAGTAGCCCCTGCTCACCACAACTAGAGAAAAGCCCCAGAAGCAATGAAGAACCAGCACCATTATGAGTAAATAAATAAGAAATCAAGCCTGATTGCTATTATATGACACAGAATTATTGCCACCTCTGCCTTAAGCAGCCAGGTCTGGTTTGCATTGGTCCTACTTACCAGGTGAAGAGAAAAATCAAGAAATTGCCCTGGATTTGCTAAAAATGGATATAATTCTTAGGGGTAAAAAAAAGCATGTGGGCATCTCATTGGAAGTTGTTTTAAAAATCCAAATCACAGGACCTGGGACTTCCATGGTGGCCCAGTGGTTAAGACTCTACATTTCCACTCCAGGAGAATCTGGTTCAATCCCTGGTTGGGGAACTAAGAACCCACTAGCCTCGAGGAGCAGCAAAAATAAAAATTCCTGCCTGATACTGGGTACGTCCTTAATCTCTCTAAGCCTTGATTTACTCTTGTGCAAAACAGGAAAAACAATACCTACTTAGTAGGGTAGTTACAAGGCTTAGATACAGTGAGGTAACACTGGTAAAGGTCCTGGCACAAATTACCCCTCAGTAGTGTTAACTCTTTATTGTGCGTGAGTGCACAGTCACTTCAGTTATGTCCAACTCTTTGCAACCCTATGGACTGTAACCCGCCAGGCTCCTCTGTTCATGGGATTCTCCAGCAAGAATACTGGAGTGTGTTGCCATGCCCTCCTCCAAGGGATCTTCCCAACCCAGGCCTTGAACCTGAGTCTCCTGTGTCTCCTGCATTACCGGTGGATTCTTTACCCACTGAGCCATCTGAGAAGCCCATTACTCTTTATTATCATCATGCTATTCATTAGCAGTATCATTACCCTTTTGACAAGACATACACAGCCTTTCAGAGGATGTTTATAGCATTCCATTATTTTCTCTAGATGTGTATTCATTCCGTTGCATTACTAGACTCTCTACTTTTGCATATCTTTGAAATTCTCCACAACATAAAATTCAGATATTATTTTTGTTGATGATTTCTAGCGAAAGGGCTAGATTCTAAGGAAAGGAAATGAGACCCTGGATAAAAATTTAAAAATTATTTGGCTTTGATTTTCACAATCCTACATAATCTGATTTCAACCAACCTTAAATTCATGTCACCTGCCTCATCACAACTGTTTCTCCTAATAATCTCCTCTCCTGGGCCTTCTCCATCTGCCTTCTTTTCCTGGCCATCTTCTCCCTTCTGCTTACGCTATTTTCCGTTGGACAGCCCTTTCGCCACAAATCCACCTGGACAAGTCCTCCCATGAGGGGAGCCCTGTTGAAGCTCTTCCGTGTGAGAAACACCACTGAGCAGCTCAAGCAAAGGCCCTCGTTCTCTTCAAGTTTAGACTCAAGTTTCACAGTCGTGCAGCACTTTTGGCACACTCGAAAGGGTGGTTCCTGCTCTGCCTTTAGATGTTATGAGAGGAGATTTCCCAATTTCCTTCTATTGAAAGCACTGATGGGTGTGAGCCCAATGATAATAACACCATTCTCCACACCAGGTATATGAAAGTTAGCTGGCAGGAAACAGAGGACCACCCAGGAAGCCCGCTTCCTCAAAGGAGCTCCAGAGCCTGCATATGTCCTTCAGGTGAACGCGTGGGAATCACAGAATCTAGACCTCGAGGACCAGAAGAGCCCAGTGCCCTGTGTTCTGCTCAACACGTGCGCATCCGCTACCCGGACCCACACTTCTCCCGGCAGGAACTGGCGCTGGTCTGGTTTCTCTCTCTTCATGGCCACGTGAAGAGGCTGTAAAAGCCACCCAGTCACCGTTTCACAGATGACAGATGCAGTCGGGGACTTGCCCAGGAGCACAGAGCCAATCAGTGCAGGGCCAGGGCTCAGCCCTCCGTCACCTGCCCACGCTTTGTGTGTGTCTTTGTCGTCAGCCGTGGCCATTTTGTGGTGCACCTACTGTGTGCAGCAGAAAAGAACAAAGAGCATCTCAGGAAGGGTTGTGGAATTCAGAAGATGCTAGTATGTTTAGTGGGGTGAGGGGGAAGAGTGGGAAAGAACTCATGGAGACAGGCTGATTCTTAGCTTGGACAGAAGTAGGGAGGGAATAGCCCAGAGCATCAAGATAACAGGGACTTCCCTGGTGGGCCAGTGGCTAAGACTCCATGCTCCCAAGGCAGGAGACCCGGGTTCAACTTCTGGTCAAGGAACTAGATCCCACATGCCACATGCAACCGAGAGTTCGAGTGCTGTAACTAAAAGGTTCTGAATGCTGAAACTAAAGATCCCACAATGAAGACTGAAGATCCGTGCACTGCGACTAAGGCCAGCCAAATAAATAAATAAGATAATAGGGAGACAGAGCTAGAAACCTGAGGAAGATTCAAGTAAAGGCGTGCTTTTCTTCCCCCAAAGCACCCATTCACGAGTCATGGAGACATCCAGTTACCTTCTCTACCCCGCAACGCCTGTCAGCCTGTGAAAACACCTAAAACTCTTTCCATGTCCCCAGATGAAGGGCCAGAGGCTCCAGCCTCAAGCTAAAGCAGGTACTATCTAGATAACATGGATATCAGCAGGGAATATGCAGCAGAATGATCATACAGAGATGCTTTGGAGATACAGCCTGAGTCCAAATCTCAGCTCAGTCGTGACTTGACCTTGGACAAGTCACTGAAGCTCTCCGGGTCTCCCTCTCCTCCCTCCTTGTGGCAGTCATGACCTGAGTTCTGGAGCCACTGCACACAGAGTGATAAGCATGGTGCCTGGCACACAGGTGACCGCTTAGAAGATGGCAGCTGTTATTCTGGTCCTTTGCTCCTTGGTCTCCCTCCTCCTGGCTGCTGAGTCAACAGGAAGTTGGCCTATGGACAAGAGAGCTCCCCGGAACATACCTGGAGTCGAGACCTAGTCAAAGGTTTTCTCTCTTCATGGCTACATCTTTCATTTCGGGGGAAATCTGGAAGAGCTAAATTGGGAACGGAAAATTTGCATCTGACGAAAGGTATGTGCAAACACATGTTTGCAAATGAGGTCAAGGTTTCAAAATACCCCTTCTCTGACAGATGAGTCAAGCCCCACACAGTGGTCTTACTATTTACCATGCATGACGGCACATTCCCTCAGAGACTGATAGCGTCGTCTGCCAGGAGTTATATCGGAAGGAGTTACTCATTGGAAAATGTGGCTGCCTTGCCCAGACTGAGATCTGAACTTGGACTTCCAGGGATTTCACCCAAAATAAGCTGAATTCCTCAGTTATAACTGTCAAAGAAACGGAGCCAAGGAATCTGTGTGCCAGACCAGCGCCAGTTCCTGCTGGGAGAAGTGTGGGTCTGGGCAGGGGATGCGCGTGGTGTTGATCGGGAGAACACAGGGCACCAGGCTCTTCTGACCCTCACGGCATCTGTCATTCCTGCCTGGGACTGCGGCCAATTGGTCATCACTTGTCCTTGATTCAGTTATCCCCTACTCCCGTGGCAACTATTTTATGATCACCTAATAATAATAGCAAACAACTGTTTAGTACTTATTGTCTTCCAGACACTGTGCCAGGTGCCTTATATGTGTCATCTCGAGTCATCCTTCCAACACTCCCATGAAACAAGTATAACTATAGAGCAAATAGGTCAACAGCAAGTGAGATATATGGAAAAATGTAAAAGGTTGGCTATAATGAAGTGGGACTTCTTTCTGAGGCTCCTGCCCCCACCACTCACATGTGATAGGGGTGGAATGAACTAAATGGCTGATCCAATTGAAATCTCTATCTGATCTTATTATTATTATTAATTTGGCCATGCCACTGTGTCACGTGAGATCTTAGTTCCCAACTGGGGATCGTCGGACTCACCGCCCCTGTACTGGAAGTGTGGGACCCTGGACCACCAGGGGAAGTCCCCTGATCTGATTCTTTAAATAGTCCTTTTAGGTAATGCTCAGTCTCTCCGACCACCTGCTTCCCCAGTTCCTGCTGCCTCTCCTTTCCCTCTCCCTCCATCTTCCTCCCTAATTGTGCTGGGGTGTGTGGAGAAGGGTATATGACTCACTTCATCTTGTGGTTGAGGGTAAGTTTGGAAGTTGCTGATTTACTTTCCTCTGGTCTCTGAGGAGTGCCCCATGTCCTCTCATTTGATCTCTGGGCACACACCTTTCTCTTCCTCCAACCACGTCCCCAAGAAGACCATACTCCTCATCCCGGCTTTCAAGTCTCTCTCCGCACTGGGAGTTGGATTTTCATCTTCCAGGTTTCTCTCATCTGTTTCCAGTCTGTTCCACAAGACCCATTTTAGATCCAACTACACTTTAAGAAAGCCTTTTGGGCACCACTGCCTGATCATTCCCTATCTCTGGACTTCCAGGGCCATTACATCTGATGATGAACTCTGTATTCCTTTGAAAGCGCTCTTTTCTTACTGTTTCATAAAATTACTTATATCTCTTGTTGTTATTTAATCTTCTTAGGGCTTCCCTGGTGGCTCAGCTGGTAAAGAATCCACCTGCAATGTGGGAGACCTGGGTTCGATCTCTGGGTTGGGAAGATCCCCTGGAGAAGGGAAAGGCTATGCCCTCCAGTATTCTGGCCTGGGGAATTCCATGGACTGTGCAGTCCATGGGGTCACAAAGAATCAGACATGACTGAGCGACTTTCACTATCATGTTCAAGCTTCTCTGGGGGCATAGATGATGCTTTATATCTTGTTGAACACCCCACCGCACCGCCAAATCTAATCCAGAGTCTACTACAGAGAAAGATTGTGGTTGTTCACAGACAAAAGATACACATCCCTGGTATATTAGGAGCTTCTAATAATGGAGAAGAAAATAACCAATAACACCACAGGGAAACCAGCTAAAGATATGAATAGATAATTCACAGAAAAAGAAATGAAAACAGTCCTTAATCATATGGAAAAATGCTCAAACTAGCTCGAAACAAGGACGATAAAAATGAAAGCTCACAGATATAATTTCCAACCTATCAGATTGGCCCAAACTCAAAAATTTTACAACACACTCTTGGCAAGAAACAGGCACACACCATGTGACCAGGGAACCATACTTCGTTATGTAAGAGTCTATCACATGTACGCGGGGAGGAAGAATTTGATGAGGCAGTTTATTCGTCTTCGCTCTAATCTGAATGCTTTCCATGCTCAAATCCTCTCTATCCTTCAAAGCTGTGTCCAGTGTTGACACAGACAAACATCTCCAGTGTTGACAACAGCATGACCCGCACACATGCACGGCACTAGACACAGTCATCGTTGTCTCAAGGCCAGAGGGCAAGAGACAAGAAGTATTTCCCTGGCGCCTGAATGGTGTTAGTTATGACAGAGGGTGTTTGGGGCCCTGCATCACAGTGTACCAGTGTTAAGTACTGGTGGACCAGTGTCCAAAGCACCCATGGGTCCTTTGGTAAGTGTATTGTTTGTGTTTGTGATACGTGGAGCCCTCTAAAACATGGATTCTGGAGCAGGATCAGGGTCCTGGGGCTTCCCAGGTGGTGCGAGTGGTGAAGAACCCACCTGCCAATGCAGGGTACATGGGATCTATCCATAGTCTGAGAAGATCCCACATGCCTCGGAACAACAAAGGCCATGTGTCACAAATACTGAGCCTGTGCTCTCGAGCCTGCCATCTACGACTACTGAGCCCATGCGCCCTACAGCCTGTGCTCCACAACAAGAGAAGCCACCGCAATGAGAAGCCTGTGCACCGCAACAAAGAGTAGCCCACATGCAGCAATGAAGACCCAGTGCAGCCAAAAATAAATAAATAAACATAAAATCTAAAAAAAAAAAAAAAAGTGTTTCCTAGCTCTGCCCACGGAAAAGGCCTAGAAACAATGGGCACCCCTAGAGCAATGAGCACCCCTATTGTGGTCTACAAATGCCATCTTCCTTGGGGAAGTGGCAGAGTCCAGGTCCCAGAGAGGAAATATGAGATGAGCCTGAAATATCTTATCATAACAGAAAGCAAGGAAACAAAATATCAAAAACTACTAACTTGTGACAAAAGGACACACAGGAGCAAATTTGATGAGGCTCTCCCTGGTCAAAGATGGGAGGCGCTGCTTGAGTATCAAAATGATATAACAATGGCAATGAATTGAAACATATTAAATAATACAAGAGTTCATAATGATTAAAACAAAAAATTGAATTCATGAGCTGCCTCTGAATAAAGCAAGGGAACAATCTCATGATTTTAAAAACAAGTATGTAATGTGCTTAGTCACTCAGTCATGTCCGACTCTTTTGGACCCCATAGACCACCACTCTTTTGGACCACCAGGGTCCTCTGTCTATGGGATTTCCCAGGCAAGAATATTGGAGTGGATCGCCATTTCCTTCCCCAAGGGGGATTTTCCCAATCCAGGAATCGAACCTGGGTCTCCTGCATTGCAGGTAGATTCTTTACCAACTGAGCTACAAGGGAATCCCACAAACAAGTAAATAGATATTAAAAAAAAAACAAGCATTTATCTTGCCTTCCCTATATAAACTGTATCCTCAGGATAAACAAAGAACTGGTGAGGGAAAAGTTTTTCTCTTTATAGAAGCACTGCAATTACTGGGGCTTCCCAGGTGGCACAGTGATAAAGAACCCGCCTGCCAACGCAGGGGTCATGAGTTTGATCCCTGGTCCAGGAAGATCCCACATGCCATGGGGCAACTAAGCCTGTGAGCCACAACGACTGAGCCCGAACTTCCTAGAGCCCATGCTCTGCAGCAAGCAATCCATTGCAATGAGAAGCCCGTGTACCGCAACTAGAAAGTAGCCCCTGCTCACTACGACTGGAAAAAGCCTGAACATCAATGAAGACCCAGTGCAGCCAAAAATAAAAGAAAAATTTAAAAAATACATATGTGTAAAACAATCGGGGATTTGAATATTCATTAGATATTTGGTAATATAAAGTAATCAGTGTTAATTTTTTTGTTGTGATAATGATACTACAGCTATCTTTTTAAAGAGATTCCCTATCTAGAGGTACATGCCAACATATTTAAAACAAAATGATGCTGGGAGTTATTCAAAATACTCTAGAAGAAGGAGTAGGTAACATTGTCATTCAAACAAGACTGTCTATGAGTGAAGAACTATTGGTAGCTGGGTGACAGGTCATGGTGGGGATGATCCTCAAACTATTCTCTCTTTGGCTTAGTTTTGAATTTTCCATAATAAAAAGTTAATAGTAAATAAGATTGAAAGATTATTTTTAATTATAAAAATAGTGCCTGCTTTCTTGAAAAATATTAATAAAGGGGCATAGAAAGTGAAAGGTAAAATCTCCTTAACACTTGACCTTTGATCTCAGCAGTAATCACTTTAAATGGTTCAGTAGATTCTTTTTTTTTAATGTATTTTATTTATTTGACTGCACTGGGTCTTAGCAGTGGCATATGGGATCTTCAGTTGTGGTCCATGAGTTTTTAGTTGTAGCTTGTGGGATCTAGTTCCCTGACCAGGGATTGAACCCAGGCCCCCTGCATGGGGAGTGTGGAGTCTTAGCCACTGGACCACCAGGTAAGTTCTGTGGTAAGGCTTTGTGTTACTGCTCAGACACTGTCACTAGGCTACTCTAAGGGGGGGATATATTCCCCCAACTCTGGGTGCTCAGGCTTAGTCGTGGGACTCACTGGACCACAGTTCAGAGACTCTTTAAGAGACAGAACATGGTTCTCTTGTCTGTCACCATGTTCCACGAAGTTCAATCCCAGAGCGAAGACAACAGAGCCATAACCTGCCCATGACACCCTGTGTACATGACAAGTAAACCATCATCATGGCAGACACTGAGATTTTTAGTCATTTATCACTGGGACACACCCCTCACCTGTTCTGAAGAATACTATATCCTTCTGAGTCTTTTCACTGTGCATCAATAAAATAATTTTCCTCCAAATATACATATTATTATATTCAATTTGCTTTTTTTTAAACTCAACATATCATGGGCATTTGAGTCTACTCTAAAATAGAACCAATCTGAGTTTGCAAAGGCTCCCCCGAAATAATTTCCTGAAGCCAGAAATACCTGTTTCTTTAAAATATGGGACAGTAGAGAAAGTTCTCTAGCAAAAACTCATGCAGGAAGTAAGCTGAGTGGGTCAGGGTGTGAATTCCAACATTACAGCCCTTCTTGTTACCAGAGGATAATTGGCAGTGGATTTGCACGATTCCAAGGGTTTTCCTGCCCAAGGAAGGAAGGAAATCTCCGAGGTTGTTGAAGGGCCTGTCTTTCTCTTTGTAATCTCATAGGCACTGCCTGTGGTTAGAAGCAAAATCCTGGATTTCCTCTACAGCTTGGAGTCAGAGGGCTGTTACTGCAATTCTGACTATAGCTAAAGTGCAGGGAGAATTGAGCTTTTAGTTTTTCAGTTATATTATCAAACTCAAATTCAAACTGGCCTCCTGGGCTCCCTCTGTCTTTTCATGGCACCCCCATGCTGCCAGGTCCAGACATTAGGAACCATCTCTCACTCTCCAAACCCCTAGCATATGAGCTCCAAGGGGGCAGAGATCTTTCTCTGTTTTGTTCACTGCCATGTCCTGTCTGTAACACTGCCTGACACATAGTAGATACTCAATAAATAAGTCAGGAGTGAATCAACCTAAGCAGCTGCCCAGTCCTGTGACTTCTCCCTCTATAATTTAGCTCTGATCTATAATCCTCTGTTAAAGAGAGTCACCATTTCTTGACAATGTTCCATTGAGATGTGGGGTGTATGTCCCCAACTCTTGATTCTGGGTGGATTCTGTGACTATTTGAACCTACAGAATATGGCAGATGTGAGGGAGTGCCACTCTCCGGGCCCAAAATTTGAGAGACGAGCAAGTTCTACTTCCTGTCTCTCCAAACTCTCACACTTGCAGCCCTGGGCAGCTGGGCAGGTCCTGAGAGATGACATGCAGAGAGAGAAAGGACCGAGACCAGCTTTTCAGCCAAGGAGCTGGACACAAGAGTGATGCTCTCTTGAACCCTCCAGACTATCAACTATCAACTGAACACCACTGAGTGACTCTAGTTGGGTGTTTTGTTGAACAGAAGAATCATTCAGCTGATCCACACAACTGCAGCTGAGTCCGAGTTCTCAATCTCCACGATGAAGAGGTAATAAAATTGTTGTCATTTGAAGCCATTAAGTTTTGGGGTGATTTGTTAATGCAGCAATAAATTACCAAATAC